CGTTGTCGATTATCGACCCATTGAACTCGCAATCTGTCGGTAGAATGCTCAGTAGCACCATGACATGGCATGCCTCGACCAATTTTTTGAGGGTCTGCAGAACCAACGACCAGCTCGTCAAAGCTGTCTAGATGCTAAGTCTTTTCATCCCGTTCAACCATAGTGAATTTATGAAAAGATTGCGTCACTGTAGTACGGTTTGCAAAGTTGTTTGGTTGTCCGGTTGTATCACATCCATGCGGTTTATGCTTGATCTCAGATCGCAGCGTTACAATAGCCTAACTCGCAGAACGTATTTTATCTGGCGCTAAAGATCAAATCCTTCAGCTATAACACGCTTCTCTTGCACTGGCAACTCATGCTCAGTCTCTCTTGATTTTGGCATATATTGCATCATACAGTCGCAAGTAAATTTTTCGAATGCTGATCCGACATATCATGCGTCTTCTCATCTAGACAGATAAATGAGGTTTAGATGATGTTGTCAAATGTATGTTGTTTTTTCTCGATCAACCGCCAGAGCATACATGGTGTACTGTGACTTCACGTTCAACGATATTTTTTGCTGTGAAGCTTTCACGATATCTGGCTCAGAAGACATAGCAGCCGTATCATATACACTGACAAGGTGTCGCTAGTATTCTTCAGATTTGACTCCAGATTTCGCCAAAACCGTAAGCATGGTTGTGGAAAAAAACATGGAGTTCAGCACATCGTCTGCTAGCTTTTTTATCCGCGGGTATTTCCATTGAAATCTCAACACCTTCATCAGCGATTCAAACGAGAGTTTGGAAATCAAGAATACGAACAGATCGATGTCGGTATATGTAGACTGTTTCCTATGCCGAACGACGTAATCGAGCATCCACAACAGCTTAGGGCTGTCTGGATTTTCTAAAACAAGCGACTCTTTGTTCATTCTGGAAAACAACTTATCTGGGCGAATGTTTTTGCGTAAAGCATAATTCATTCGCCAAGACCGCAGTATTCTAAAAAAGTCGTCACGCACGCCATCAACTTGTTCCAAAAAAGCCTTTTTAAACTCTTGTGATGGAATCATTTTATCCAAATCTTCTTCCGATACGTATTTGCGAAGTGCTTTCAAAAAATCATTGTGGCGCAATTGGCTTTCACTATTTGCAAGTCGCCCGTACCACGTGAAGTATTCAAGTCACGCCAAAAATAGTTGATCCGTAACTTTAATGACCACAGGCTTGTGTGCAAAATAAAAAATGTCGAGAATATTTTCTGGGCTGAATCCTTTGACTATCCATTGACCAAACACCAAATCCTTGTACGTGGAATCCAATACCATGGTTCGTTGTACATCCTCTGCGAATCTCT